AAAAAAAAAAAAAAAAAAAAAACTGCAAAAGATGCCGAGGATTGAAATATCTTCCATAAATCAATAACACGATATCTGATCGGCTTAAGCTGATTGAAAATGACATAGATGGAGCTAAAATTCTCATTAATGCTAATTGCAAAGGAATGAAGACTCTACTTCATTGCATTCTGAAGTAATCCAGCTAGAAACCTGAATTTATAATTCTTCAAAAAGTTTATTCATAATGATTTAAAGTGTAAGATCTCTTTGGTTTTCACTTCTAATAACAAAAGCAAGGAAGAGAATAGCCAACATAATAAGCATGCTATGCTGGAGAAAATGTAGGCCAGACAGGTTTATGATAACAAAATCCGAATACGGAGTTGCAGTTCTAATTGTATTTCTATCTGACCTAGTTGTGCTGCTGTGTAGAAGACCCTTTGCAGGCTGAAACCTGCAGATCTAACGAACAAGGTCAAAATTATATCAAAACGAATCCATTATTATGATTGCAGCAGACATAATTCCGGCTCCAAGCCAATTCGTATACAATTATGAGTGTACAATAACATTTTTCATTCGACAGAATAGCAGTAGAACCATGGCTCATAGTTTCTAGGCACTTGAACAATTTACCTCCAATTCAACTTTTTTTCAATTTTAATATCTCCATGATTGAAGTGTTTCCGCAGTTCAATTGAGAAGGGAATAGAATTCCCCTGTCAATTTGTACTACAAGTCATAATAATAAACAAAATGAATTCAGCTCTTCCCTACATAGGAGAAATGGTAAAGAAAAGTACGCAATTCTCTAAAGTTAGTTATCAGGTTCCTACGAGGCATTTCAACTTTAGATAATTCAACATTTTTTAGTTTATTATAATGAACCTAATACCGCAGAAAAAACTTGAAGTTCAGTGTATCAGCATTTATCCAAACCCAAGGTACATGGAAATTCCCAATTACTATATTCAGGAGGTAGAGGTAAATATTTGAGGACATTAGCATGATCAAATCCATAGTATTGAGTTCCATCGGTGCACCATCAATTACACGATGGAGCTGCATTTATACGTGAAAGTGACATATATACACTCATATACAGTTCATAATATGAGTAAAATATGGCTATACGCCAGAGGTGAGTTTCAAGATCATATGATGGTAGTGATACTGCTATACTTCTTTCTTCTCTACTTCAAGTGAAATCTCATTACGATGTTAAAATGGAAGAGTAAAAGGTGGATTATACTGCAAACTGCATACAGGGATCTGCGACTATTAAAAAGCAAGATTATATGTGCATTATGAAAAATCAAGGACAGTTTAATATTACATAACTTAGATGATAAAAATACCTGGTGTCAGGATGCGAAGAACTTACATTTTTTTCGTTACTACAGGGGTTATCATATCCATCTTTTCCCCATCAGATTTATATTGACTCGTCAAAACAGGTCTTGTCATTTCTATTTTCTCTCTTGCCTTGTTCTAGTATTAGGACCGGATTTAAATTAGGATGGAAAACAGAGATCAAGATTGACAGATTTCGTCTCGGAGCTTCAATCTACCTTACCAAAAAGGTACTCGGTATAGGCATTGAAGGATTGATGTGCACCGCTGAACTCAACTCCACTGTTTCCAGGTATGGTTGTTTCCGCTATAAATTAAGGCTGTCCAACCGATCATTGCTACTGTCTGTGAGCTAATGGTTAGAATAAGTCAATATTATGTTTAGGTTTGAAGCAATAAGGCCGCACAAGAGTAAATTGAGGAGGGAAGAAATTATACCTCAACCTTCCTTATCTCATATTCGTCTCTTCGATTTAAGACCTTGAACTTCAGATCTTCGAGATCAGGAACTAGATTAACTCAAAATGAATTATTAAACTCACAACAATTAAGATATAGAAATACGAGCTGAATTACATTAGAGCTAAATCGCAGGACGAAGCTCGCAAGTGTGAAATTCACAACCAACAACAAAGTTCTCCAGATAGACATACCTTCCAAGCCTCCTCTAAATTTCGACTCTCGAACCTTTTAGGCAACAAGTATTTCGATGTTTCGTAAGCCGACCCCGACAAAACTGCAAACCAGACGAAGAAGTGCGGATTAAACAAGTACTAAAACTTCGAGTACTATCAATTAAAAAATCAAATACCGAGACATAACAGCGCTGAGAGAATATATGCTCGGGAAGCGAGTGCAAAAACAAGAGAAACTCGAGTTTCCTGAGCGTAAATGGTCAATCGCAACCGTGAAGTAGCTACAGCGGATCACTGGCCGTAGAATCAGTAACAATGGAGCTTGAAGAAGATCTTCGACGAATTTGCAAAGGATGAGGACATCGAGATCCAAACGAGGTTTTGGAGAGGACGAAAGGGTTGCAGCGGAGCCTTTTCCTCCAGCGGTTTCAAATTTCTGTTGAAGAGAGTGGAATCTGAGAGGCCTCGATGGCGGGGAGTATTTACCCGGGAAACAACTTTCATGGGCTGAAAATTTTAAATAATTGGGCCTACTGTGAAACTTCAGCCCAAACACCGATATCTCGAGTTGGGCTATTCGGTCGATCGGGCCCAAATGATCGTAAATTTGACCTATGAGATTTCAAATAATCTATATTCTAAAATTTTAAAATGCCTCTGAAATATCAAAATTAATATACTAATTTTGTAAAGAAAAAAAATAAAAAAAAAGGTTTTCGAAAGAAAGGAAAGATTTCGGATTATTTTTTACAATTTAACGAAAAAAAAAAAAAAAACTAATTGATAGGTTTGTTTATTATTATTTTTTCCCGGGTAATGGAGAACAAAATGGTGAAAAATAAAAAATAAAAATCTGCAACTCCAAATCAGAGCCACTCACCCAAGAGATACAGTCACCCCCTGCACATACTTCGATCTCCATGGCCGAAACTTGAAGATTCATTCAAATTCGTCAAGTTTATGCGAATCATGGCCACAATCTCTACTTCTTTCGCCATTTCACAGAGTTCTCGCTTCTATTTTCATCCTCTCATCATCACTCTTAAACCCGTAATTGGCGTAAAGCCATCTCCCGTTACTTTTCCGGCCATTCAGACGCGGATTTCGCTACCGGAATCTAGGGCAAGGGGTTTGGTTCCAGTTGTGAGAGCGGGCATTGACATTCCTTCAGATATCAGACCTGGAAAGGCAGTGGAGACCGATAAATTGCCGACGGATGTGAGAAAGAGAGCGATGGAGGCTGTGGACACTTGTGGAGGAAGAGTAACCATTGGAGACGTTGCAAGCAGGGCGGGACTTAAGCTCAATGAAGCGCAGAAGGCTTTGCAGGCTTTAGCTGCTGATACCAATGGCTTTTTGGAGGTACTTATTGCATTTTAAAGTTCTTCTTCTACTGAGGATGAAGACTAGGATCCACTGGATTTCTTCTATCTGTATAGACTGTAAACGTAAGTTACAGAGCATTTGAACTTCTTAATTTTGTGACAACAAATTTTTTCAAGATGTTCTTAACAGGTTTCTGATGAGGGCGACGTTCTCTACGTTTTCCCCAAAGATTATCGTTCAAAGCTTGCGGCCAAATCGTTTTGGATCAAGTTTGAACCTCTTATAGAGAAATCAAAGGTATTAACTAGGAACCGTAGGGTTTCGATTCAAAATTCTAGTCTCCGGGAACAATTTTTTTTGTGTTATAATGGCGATCTTAACTCAATTTTCAGGCAGCTGCTGAATATCTTGTCAGGGTTTCATTTGGAACGGCACTAATTGCATCAATTGTTCTTGTATATACTACAATTATTGCTCTTATTTCAAGCAGAAGGTCGTAATATTGATCATGAACAATATAGAGTACAGGTTGAAGGTAACTTCAAACTATTGATTCAAGTTTAACGATGCAGTGAAGAGGATAATCGTGGAAGACGCGGCAGATCATATGATTCAGGATTCACATTCTATTTCAATCCAACTGATCTTTTCTGGTAATAAATATCTTCTTTATCATGCAATTGCTGACTTTATTTGTAGAGGACTTTGGCCATTATTCCTTCCTGTTTGGATGGTGTAAGGTACTGGGATCCATACTACTACAGGAGACGCAGGCTACAAACAGAAGATAATAAGATGAACTTTATTGAATCTGTATGTGATTGAATGATATCTAGTTTCTATTACGATCCTGTGCTACTTTAGCTCAGATTTAAATCCTAATTTTGTAATGGCCTTCCTTCAGATTTTCTCATTTGTTTTTGGGGACGGCGATCCAAATCAAGGAATTGAAGAAGAGAGATGGAAGTTGGTAATATTTGAGGACTGTGTTCAGTGGTCCGTTACTTTCAATATTATATATAATTTCCCTTTTCATTTTGTGAACAAAATTTAACCTGTTTTATCAGCTAATATTTTGTAACAGGAAGTTGGTTTTAATTGTTTTCTTTGAGCAGTAACTATTTTATCAGCTAATATTTTGAGCTATACTTGCAGATTGGTCAATACATCACCTCCAATGGTGGTGTTGTAGCTGCTGAAGAACTTGCACCATATCTGGATGTGACAGAGGGGAACACGGTAAGTTGCCAATCATTGTTGCTTGACGGCTATTTAACAATAGGCGGAATCAACTATTTAAGTGTTACTTTTCTGTTTGACTTGTTTCATCCTGTTGACGATTGCAGGATGATGAGTCGTACATTTTACCAGTTCTTTTACGTTTTGATGGCCAACCTGAAATCGATGAAGAGGTATGTTTAACGAGGTATGAAATGCTTGAATGGATACAATTAGCTCGATTTATGCGTATTTGATGTCAAGAATATATGAACACAAGTCAGTTGCTACATCGAGGCTTGAATTGTTATGTTAATAAAGAGCTATGTAATGAAAAGACAAGCTTTTGGAGTACAATCTCCATTTGTATACAGTATTTCTGCCCCTGTTACAGGTTCATTGAAATGGAGAATGAAATGGTACTTCATGATGCAAGTTTAGATCTTCGGTTTATTGATATGTGATTATAACTTCCCCTCAAAGAAAAACTACTCACTGAAAGTTCTTTATTTATAGGGAAATATTCTATATCGATTTCCCTCCCTACAGCGCACAGCTTCTTCTCAGCGGAGTGGAAGGAAGGAGTATGTGGGTAAAAAATGGGCTGAGTGGGTTGGAGGGATTGAAAAGTTTTTCGAAGAGAAGAAATGGGTCTTTAGGTACCATGGTTAAGTTTCTTTGCCTTATTCGGGAGTATGGTTTGAAGTTAATTAATGATCTGGAATTCTTTTGTCTGCAGTAAAACAAGTAATTCAGAGAGAGCAATGGCCATTGGATTGGGAGGGCTTAATCTGTTTGGTGTTATATTCCTCGGAGCCATGTTGAAGTATGGTATTAAGCTTGGATTGTTTTGTTGTGGTTTCTGAGGGAATCTAATAATTTCCACCCAATTCCATTTTTTGAAGGGATGTTGCTGTTAAACCCAGTGGACTTATCAACTTTGTATCCGATATATTTCCTCTACTGCAGGTTTGGAGTCATTTGGTTACTTCTATCATATAATTATCCTATAATTTAATTCAATTTATGACACTGTATTCTTTATAATTAAAAAAAAATGTGCAGGTATATGCTGGTTCGTTCTTCACGATTCCATTGGTCCGGTGGTTCATTATCCAGAAGAGAAATGCTGAAATAGGAAAAAGAAACCAAGCAAGGCAAAAGCGTGCTCGAGCGCTTGAACTGCCAGACGTGTCACTCAGACGCAAGGTAATTAATATTTAGATTTTAGATCACCAAAAGAAGTTTGCTCCTCTGTAGATCCATCCATTTTTAGGGGTGGATTGGTTCCAGTTTTGAGAAGAAAGTAACCCTACCTTGTTTTTCTTTTTCCCCACCAGTGTTCTGTTTTAGCATCATTTTAGTACTCTAATGATACCCTATTTCACCGTTTCTTGCATGCCATGTAATGCATTTTTTTGGGTGGAACTGCTCATCAGGTGGGAAAATTGCCTGTTGATTCAGTAAATTTGGGCTGTAAAGTTATTATCCTCTTTTCAGATGCTATCTCTCTTTACTCTTGTTGGAGTCTCTGCTAAAGTCCTACTTCTCAGTCATTTAAGCATTCTATTTTCTTTTAGAAAAACAAATGCAAATCTCTCTATTTGTTTCACCAATGTATCTAATTCTTTGAATACAATCTTACCAGCTCCTCAGTGCTCGAGACATGGCCCAAAGAACTGTAATTGGACAGGATCGAATTGTGTATAGTAGTGATCGAGATCTAATCGAGCAAAATTATGAGCTCCAAGAATGGGAAAAGAAGTTCCGAGAGATGGAAAAATCAGATTAAAGAACTGGTGGTATCAATTGGAAAGGTATTGTTTCTCACTATTTAATCACAGATTGCCATATGCCATTCACTAAGAAGCTATATTTGCTGTATATGCGCACTTACCATATTGACCAGGCTAAGGGTGAAATTCTTATTCCTTTAGAGAGTATTTCAAAATGCAATGCTATTAGACTACAAAATTTTCTCCATCGTTAATTTTACCACTGACGGGTATGCATGTAGGTTTGGTGATTTATTTGTACACAAGAGGGGAAAATGAAAGAGAGAAGCTTCCTTGACTTCATAAAACTTGCTTAGTCAGGTCTTTGTTAAATTTGTTGAATAGGCAGATAACTAACATACGATCAAAGGCTGACAAATAATCGAAGAGCCCCTCATTTTCTTTCCTTATGTTCTAGGAGAATTTGAACTTCTAACCTCTCCGTTCTAATTGAACTATATGACCTCTCTTAATCAACAAATATCTTATCTGAATTGTTCTCATTAGTTTATTTCGTGTATGCAGTCCCGTGATTCCGAGGTATAGACAATGTCCCACAGATTCAAAATCGCGGATATTTCACTAAGCTGTTGATTAGCCCGCAGGGTATAAGGGTGGCTTTCAATGTTAATTGGTGAAATGGTTTCTCTGTTTGGGAGAGTACCGAAGATTGTGATTCTGCTTCATAACAGAGCTTCTTTTTTATAGGATTAGACTGCATAACTGTGATTTACTATGTAAAAATTCAAGGGAGTGGTCTAGGTCTTATCATTCCAACACTGTAAAATTAAAAGAATCAAATTGAGAATATAGCACAGAACACAACAATTTGCAGTCCTATTTGGCTTGCGTTTAATTCTAATGTCTTGATGGGGGCGCCACTACAAAGGATCGGCCATCTTGTCAAAACATTCAATACCTAAATCTCTGTAAGTAGTTCCTAAATGTCTGTGTATAACTAGCTCAACCATGCATTTTCAGACAAATAAATGATTGTTTCTACCCAAACATGGTTCAATAAGACTACTTTTACTTACAGTTTCAATTTTAATTTGAACTCTAATTAAGTTGATCTTAGCTTAAAATTTTTATAATGTCATTCTAAACCTAATTGTCAGTGCAAATGGTTCATGATGTCCTTTTCCTATAAAATTCTATTTTTTTATTGATCATTGGGACGGGGGAAAGTAAGAATCTATTCTTGTTATAAAGTAATGGTTCGTGATGTCCTTTTCATATAAATTTTTTTTTTTTTTTTATTTATCATTGGGACGGTGGAAAGAAAGAATCTATTATTGTTATAAAATTTAAATTTATATATCATTAATTAATTGATTTTTAAAAGTTATGAGTCCGAGGCTTTCACAGGTAACTAAACCTTTTTTTTAACAGGAACTAAATAATAATAATAATTATTATTATTTTTCTTGGGAATTATTATCGTCCTATAATTTCTATTTCTATGGACCGAAGCTAACCAGATTTTGACACCAACAGAATATTCAATACCGTGAAATTCACTTTAGAAGAAAGTGAGAGATGCAAATAATTTGTGTTCGAAGAAATTCATCAAAGCAAAGAGAAATATGAAAGGTAATTGCGCAGGAAAATTCTCCAGAGAAGAATCCACTTACAATCGCAAAGTCGTAACACGTTATTGGCTTCTTCAACTGAAGTATTTCGCCATCTGAATCGCCTTATGCTCGAACCCACACTTCTCGTAGAATCCTCGATTCTCAACGCTGCAATCAAGAATTACCTTATAGCATCCCATTGCACGAGCATGATTCGTAAGAAACTCTACGATTTTCTTCCCTAATTGCATCCCTCGAGCATTCGAATCCACCACCACGTCTTCTATGTGCCCTACTTTCCCACAGTTTCTTATGAATTTCTTCTCGATGAAAACGCTTCCAGTGGCGATGATCTTCCCCGATCGATCGTCCTCTATGACACAAATGATATGATCGTCTCCAAGGGCGATTAATTCCTGAAACCTATCTTCGAAGTCCTTGTCGGACACAGAATCGCAAACGGTCAGTTGCTGCAATAGCTCAATGAATCCCTTGTTCTTGTCCGAAATCTCTAATTTTCGAACTTCTAATCGACGTTCTTCACTTGATGAGTTAGGGCTCTGCATTGCGGCTGAGAGATTGAGAGGAGAGAACGATTAGGAAGTTACAACGGATAGGGCTTTGTTGATAGATCAACGATACAATAGAGATTATAAGCAAGAGAACTCAAAACATTCCCGAAAAACGAATGCAGCTGCGGAAATCGAAACCAAACCTTGTAAAATCCTAAACAGAGATGAATAATCTGAAGATCTGCAGATGAAGGCTAATATTGCGTTGCGGACCTCTGGAGATGGTTGAGGTTTTCTTGTTGATCTGAAGAACGTTGGGAGCAATGGACAGAAATGACGAAGCGATTTTAAGAGACTGAACGCGCGTGAGAGAGGCAAGAGGCCTTTGTAAGCGCGCACGAGATAAGGGTGGAGCAAGTTGAATAATTGGCCAAAAAAAAAAAAAAAAAAAAAAAAAAAAAAAAAAAAAAAAAAAAAA